TTAAACAAATCTAGTGCATTATCATAAAAATTAAGTTGATGATAAAGGGTACCGAGTTTATCATATGTTTGCATTAAATTCAATTGATTCGATGATGTAGATGTTGTTTATAAGTACTATTTTAAAATACTCTATTGCTTTACTTTTATAGTTTTAATCAACTAAATATGGAAGTGCCATATTGTTATGCAGTGTTATTAGACTTGAGTTATCCGATGGTGATAACTGCAATTGAATTTCGATGGATTTGCTATAATATTCCAATGATTTTGTAAAATGATTTTGTGTATGATAGTTTGGTCCAAAATAGGGTGCGGGTGCTGATCTCTTCTTCGAGCACACCCACACCCATACCCATTTACTACCAACTACTAACGGAAAAAAGACAACTAGAGAAGAATTGCTAATGTAACATATTGTCGTCTAACAAGATAATAGTATTATAATATCTGAATTCGCATTCTCACCTATAATCTAGTACTCATGTCTAGAAAAATCGACTTTCAGAATGTGTATCTTCAAATTACATCATCTACTAGAATATGTGTCATTACGAAATCTTGCTTTAACAGAAGTTATCGTTAAAAAGACGAATAATATAACATACTTTTATACTATGTAGCTTGCTGTATCAGCTAATGGTCAATTATAACACGAAGTCTTTCTGATTCTTCAGAAAAAGGAAAATAATTGCGGTACAAGAGTAGAAAATAGGGATGAGAAACACGGATTTTTTCAAATGAAGCTCTACGTCTTCTGATTGGTAAAAAATTTCTTTATTTTCTTGACTGTTGGGAAACTCAAGCTGTTCTAAAAAAATTTAGCACAGTATTTCCACATCAGAACAGTTAGTTATTAATTTTTTCATAAGTATCAACTGGTTATATTCAGGGCTGCCAAATCTCCTGATTTAGCCAGGAGTGTCCTGATTTTTAGAACTTCCTCCTGGTGAAAAAATCTCCTGATACCAGGAGCGGATTTTAACATTTTCTCCTGGTTTCTCCTGATTTTGTGATTTTTGTCAGCTTAATTTTAGGGACCCCTTCATTCAAAAATTTGAATTATTGAGATAAGAAAACAAGAAAAACAGAACTATCACACTAATTGATAGATACAGTAAGAAAATGTTTTGTTTCCTAATAGTTTTTGATAAATAAAACTATCCCTTATGTAAACAAAATTATTTACCAATGTTCTATATGTCCCAGTTCTTATTCTTACTGTCCAAATGTTGTACATATATGATAATATCATATGTATAACAGCTGAACAGAATAGGAAAGAAAAGAACAATCATTTAATGTTCTTTTCTTTTCTTTTGTGTTCAGCTGTTTCAATATGTTCTTGTTCGTGTGATCTACTTTTTAACCGACATTTGTTACGAATAAGAAGAATAATTGTTTTAATTTTTATTCTTCGTATTGTTCATTATCTAAAAAGGCAACTATCGACTTCTTTGTCTCTCGTATAATAATCGCAATAGCATGAAGCATGAACTTATTAGTGCAGCATTAAAAATTAAAATGAATAATCATTATAGCTGTACAGAATTTTATAATTATGTTTATAATAATCCAGATTTATTGAAACAAATTCGCTCATCATAAAAATACACTCACATTGGAAAACTACCCCGGAGGGCTTAGGTGATACTTCATTTTTCATATATTTTGGTTTATTTTGGTTTACATAAGTTTTCAAGTAAAGTTTATTTTTTATGTATGTTTCCATGCTTATGAACTGTGAAATGATTAGTAATAAAAGTTACATTTGATTATCTTTGTTTTTTCATATTATTTGATGGCAAGTTATCTCATCACTTGCTTGGCAGCAGATAGTAACGAGCAATTATGTTAAAAAAATTGTATTCTTCTTCGAAATGCGACTATCAAATGAATATATGACTTCGATAAAAATCTCCTGCTTTTTTTCCTGATTTTTTATAAAAATTGTCCTAGTTAACTTCTGTTTTTTTGCAAAAAAACTCCTGACTTTTAAAATTTGGATTTGGCAGCCCTGGATCCATCTTAGTTAACAATTTATTATGTCATAAACAATGTTGTGAACTCGAGAGGTACTTTTCCTCTTTTGCTTTCGAAATTTCTATGAGACTCACATACTTGACGAAAGAACATAGTAAATTGAAGTTATAGGCCGAGATTTTCCGATTCACTTCGTCGTACCAGCTCGGACTAAAGTATGCCAGTTAGGATACAGATCAACGCTTTTAACATCATTGCTAGTCATAACAATGCTGGTAAAGGTACTTGCAATAGATATTAGTAATCGAGGATCAATGACCAGTATTGGCACCAGACTTTGTTTTTATGGTATCGTAGTAGCAGGAAAAAAGACACCAAACAGCATTAGCAATAAGACTTATGCTATTCGAGATTATTTCAAAGCCTTCCTTAAAACTTAAATAGCTCGAATATACTATTTAGTATCCTAAATAGCGTAGTGTCCGATTTTTGTGCAGATAGGCGATTATATTCAATGTATCAAAGATAACGTTTGTGCTCTTTTGACTTGTCACAGTTGTCATATGAGCAACACTAAAAGTATGAATTGATTAAATTTTAACTTTCGAGGATAATTAATATTTCTGAAGTTATCGAAATATAAAATAGAGCGTCGAGAACTGTTTGAAATATAGAAGAGATGCAGAAGAGTTTTTAAAGAAAACGAAATAAAAGTAAAGAATGAATATCAACAAAACAAATCAAAAATAAAGCGCAAATAAAAAATTAAAAGAACAAAAAAATCTTTTCAAAATCTTGAGATAAATAAGACAGATTGTTTGTCTGATAGTCCATTATTCTTAGAAGGAAACTATCATCTGTTAGAGATTTTTCACTTAACATATTTTGTATGAGTATAATTAAGCTAAAATAAAGCGATGACAATTTCACATCAGCGTAACTTTCGATTAATTCTCTTTGTAATATTAATTATATAATAATAAATGAATAACTATTTATGTTCTATGTAAAACAGAAAAAAAAATAAAATTCGATATTGAAAATGATGAAGAAAATTTATTAAAATTTACATATACATTAAGAAGAACAAATACAAAAAATGAACCCTCATTTTTGAAGAATCAAATAATAACAGAAATTTTACTTAATTCTAATGAAATAAATGAAGCAAAAAGAAAGAATTAATTGTCTTTTGTCGAAATAAATATTTTGATAACATAGAACAATTAATTTATTAATTGAACAACTTGAAAATCAATATTGCGAAGAAAAATTGTTATATAATGATAGTAAAATGTTCGATGCAAAAACAAAAAAAAGCAAGAATTTCTAAAAAAAAGTTTCTCTTCATCTAGATGTTAAATAAAAGTTTTCGAATAGCTGTAGTTGATATATTATTTAAACTTCGTTTATTTTTTCAAGATCTTCATCATTTCATCATCAAATAATTCATCAATTAAAACAATTTATTGATCACCATTTGTGACAAATGATGAACTTGATACATGAAAAACATATATTGATGATGGTTTAACTGAGTTTTCAAATTTTTTCTTTGCATCTAGTGATTATCCGAAACAAAACTTAACATCATCATTTAGAAATAATCAGCAAGAAAATGATAAAAGACAAGAAATTATTTTTCAAATAGTAATTATTTTATATCTATTGATAATCAAATTTTAGTTACATTTGGTCTTGTTAGACAAATTAAAAATATTGAAAAAGATAAAAATGGAAAACTTCTAATTAATTTAAAAATTGTTAGTAGCCATAATCGTCAATTCTAACGTATTATTGAATCAATGAGAAAAGAAACTCAAGTATCTTATCCAACACTTCGTCTTGTTAAATTTTTTATTGAACTTCAACAAATTTTATTAGTTGATTCACCTTATGTTCGAAAAGATCCACTTTTAGCTTTTTTGCACGTATTTATCGTTCATTACGTACTAATTTATATGAAAAAGAAAGGTTATCTTCAATATGGAATAATATGGATTCAGTTTATATGTGACAAGGTCGAACAGATTTAACATTAGAATATCGTAAAAAAACTTTAGCTATTCAATTAAAATCACCAGGTTGAGATCTTCCCTCCATAATATCTTATTCAAATAACCATGGAGAGGTTTATTTAAAATTAGCACGTTATGATGAAGCACTTCTATATGTTAAACGTGCTTTACAAATTGAAGAACAAACATTACCAATAAATCCTTCAGAATTAGCTACTATAGACCATCGAGTTGGTACTGTTTATTTTCGTCAAAATAATTATGAAAAAGCACTTGAATATTACGATAAAACATTAGAAATTGAAGTTGCTTATTTACCTGAGGATCATTCAACTGAATCTTGTCACAACATTTGAAAGTTTAGGAAAATTAGAACAAGCTTTTGAAAGTTTTCTAAAAAAAACATCACCGAGATAGAATATCCACAAATACGAATGAATCGAGCTTATGTTGATAGACTTAAATAAAAATTATGGGTTAAACATCTTGTTACTTCTTAATGAATATTTTTAACGTCAATTGAAATTTTATTTTTATTGGTAACAAACGAAAATTTTTTTCATCCTTTTGTTTGTTTTTTTTGTGTCTCACGTTAATTGAAGGGATTTTAATGTAATAGAAATTTATTATTTCATGCATTTCCTTCAGTTTTTCTTTATTATTCTGGCAAGTTTTTATTCCAATCAACAATAACAATTCTAAAATGACGCTTTGGACTTTTGTGGAACTCACGTATATTTTCGAAGAAAATAGTGAGTGTAAGTTTTAAGTTCGAGGTTTTGCGGCTCCCCCCCCCCCACCCCCCCCTCC